ATAATTTTAAAGTCATTAAAACTAAAAAACATTTGAAATTGACAATTTTACCCTTGCTTCTAAATTTCAATATCAAATCACATGAATACTTAAATCGCAACATGTTTCATCGATTGTAACCCTTCGCTTCTTCAATCGCAACTGGTGGCTTCTTCCTTATCGCACACGAGCAGGAATACTTTCAGAGGATGAGGCTTCTGGGTCGTCTTCCTCACGATTGCCAGTGACTGTCGTCGTCTCGCCGGTTTTTTTCCCTGGCGTCTCTTTCTTCCTGCAATCGCTAGTACCGACAAGTATTTATACCTTATTCCTTATATCCCCTTCCTTATCTGAGACAAAAGGTGGATATTCAATTTAAAGAGTTCAAGCTCAACATTGCTTCCCAATTATCAGTCATTTGGTCAAGGGTTTTTCGTTTTCCCACGTATTCCTTCATTAGTCACCGAGTCAAATCAATAACAAGGCAGAGAGATCCAAGAAATGGCAAATCAATAGATTTAGCTTTCCTAATAACCATACTTGAAGTCAAATATGTATCTGATTCTCTATTGCCAATGTAAAAGTAATCTCCCAAGTCCTAAGGATTAACAAGGGTGAATAAAACTCTTGTCAACATGTTGTTGACATGAAGAGATACATAGAACGATTAGAATAACATGTTACTTTATCCATGGTTTGTTTGACTTTGGTTTTCTGGTTTAATGAAAGTGGTTATCTTTTTAATACTCTGTAAGTAATACTTCAGTATGAGTCTCGATTATAATCCCTTTAGAGGTAAACAAATTGGTCTACAACTCATTTATTTTCTGATCTTAAGTCTACTAAGTCTACTAGGGTTGTTTATTGTTTGATTCGCTTGAAGTGTTTTTATACCCAGGTTGGTGGTGGTAGAAGCAGCGGACAAATTGGTCTACAATTCATTTGTGTTTAATTACCTGATGCGTGATGCGTGTGTGAAACAACTAGATGGAATAGGAGGCTGCTCGTGTGCGATAGGGAAAAAGCCACTAGGTTGCGATCGAAGAAGCAAGGGATTACAATTGATGAAGCAGGATGGGAGTTAATTATTCACGTCACCTGATGTTGTATTGGAATTTAGAGGCATGGGCAAAATTGTCCATTTCCAATGTTTTCTAGTTTTAATGATTTTAAAATGATAAACAAGATTATAAATCAATAAAAATTGTTTAAAAAATAGATTTGGGTATGTATGATATTAAAAAATATTAAAAAGGGCAAATACGATATTTTAAGTTTAGGTCGGGCAAATATGATATTTAGACGTTTAGGAAGGGTATATATGAAATTCTGCCTATTATTAATAAACATTACATCATTGATCATCCCATCAATCGACGACCAATGTTAAACAATGAGTATCATCTTTTGCAGATCAAAACGGTTCAACAACTTCACTCACTTGATTATTTATTTACTATCACTTGATTATTTATTTACTAAATCCAGTATTATTAACTTTTTTATTTTTATTTTTATAATATTTGTTAAATCTTGAATCAATCAATAAATTATCTAATTTCATGAATTTCATACATACTTTTAACTTTTCTTTGGAATGACATAAGGTTGCGACATAAAGTTAAAAGAATTATGCCGCAAGTTTGTGACAAAAAGGTATATAGGAATACATTATGTGTAATAAATGAGGCTTTTGCATGTATATGGCATATTTATGATGTGTGTACGTGAGTTTAATTTCTATAAAACGTGGAATCATATGTAATATATCGCTTTCGTGTTGTTGTTCCACAATATAATCACTTAATCACCATAACCCTACGTTAAAAACATTTTATGCTATTTTGGGATGTTTGGGGTTGCTTATTAAAAACAAGTTTTTTTTATTTTTTTATTTTTTTTATAACTTACGGCAAATATATAAAATTTGTTTTAACTAGCTTATTCGTGATTTGCTATGAAAAAAGAAATTTGAGGCTAGATGATCTTTAGACAAACTCCATCATTTTCACACTTCAATATGAGAGAGAGAACCCTCTGGCCGCCACTCCCCGAACTGCACTTTGGGGGGAGGGAGGGGAACCAGTGGTTTCAAATGTCACGTAGGTATCCTTTAAAAAAGTTAAAAAATAATAATAATATATTATTTTTAATATATAATACACTTTCAAATCAGATAGAAGAAAATAACTTATGAGAAACCGATTATTCAAATCAATAAATAATTATCGTTTCATTATATCAAATTCTAAATAGCAATCGCAATATAAACTAATACATACAACTCTTAATATATTCGTTTTGAAAATGATAAACATATCATATTTGATTAATAAATATTTTGTTTCTTTAAAAGAATGCATAATTTCCTCTTAACTCTGAATCATCTACATACTTTGATGAATCACATCGACAATTCTTTAATATGTTATCAAAATCTAAATATGAAGTTTAAGCAAAAACCTCTAATTTTCCTTGCTTTTCATGTTCTACTAATAGTATATGATGCATTACTAGTTGTACCTTTTATTATATTGCATTATCAAATTAAAAGCAAATAAAGTAATGAATTTACGAACTGTTCTATTTATATTTTACAAAAACTAGCCGTCTACCCGCGCAAAGCGGCGGGGCACGTGAGTTCTTTCGGTGATATGTTTCCATTACAAAATTGTTATGTTAAAAAAAAGTACATGTTGAAGACAATATAATCAAACTATGGTGTTATTTGTTACATCATGCATCAAATAACCAATAAAAAGCAACCAGTCAAGACGACACAAAATATTAATCGTGCAATACTTCTTTATACACCACATTTGCTGTATAAACCCCATCACCTTTTGAATTTTCGTTAGGCTTTACTAATACTTTTGTATTGCAACGTGAAACCCCTCTGGACAATGCAACATAAAGTTGTCCATGCGAGAATACTGGTTCTGGAAGATAGATACCTACATATGGAATTGTTTGTCCCTGAGCTTTATTGATTGTCATTGCAAAGCACAATCGAATAGGAAACTGTTTCCTCATTAGAGGATCGATGGTTGCTACTAATTGCTTGTAACTGGTATTGGTTTCATATCGATGGATGTGGATTCGCATATGAAATCAATTGTGTTCGCATCTATGAAATCAGTTCGCATATGACATCAATTGAGTTCGCATTTGGTTTTGTGGGTCAAAACAGTTCGCATAAGAAGTTCACGATTTGTTTGAGGTTAATTGATTTTGATTTCGCAAGCTTGGAGTCGGAGATCTGGATTGTGTTCGCATCTATAGAATGCGAGGAGAATTTAATGGTGATATTCAGTTCGCATTTGGTGACACAAGTACGTGGTTGATGATTTTTGGTTGGTTCGCATTTGAAATTAGTGGGTTTCGCATTTGGCTTCGTATCTGGGTTTCTCAAACAACTGAAATGCGAATATGAGACAATTGATTAATTTCTCAGTTAATGTGATGAAATGCGAATGAACTCAAAGACGGATGGATGCAAGATGCGAAGAATTTGAATGAAAATGCGAAGTTTTTAATGTATAAATGCGAATTGGGGAAGAAAGCTTAGAGTTTCGCATTTGGCACCTGATCTTTTCAAGAAATAATATAAGTGGTCCAACTTCGCAAAATGGGGTCATTTAATCAGAAAATCGATCATTCTTCAAATATGACATTTAATCAGAAAATCGATCTAAAAATGAGACATTTGGTGTTTATCGATTTTTCAGGGTCGACGGGTTGTATGAAAAGCGAAGGCTGAGTAATTGAAAATTAGAGGATCGATGGTTGTTGCTACTAATTGCTTGTAACTGGTATTGGTTTCATATCGATGGATGTGGATTCGCATATGAAATCAATTGTGTTCGCATCTATGAAATCAGTTCGCATATGACATCAATTGAGTTCGCATTTGGTTTTGTGGGTCAAAACAGTTCGCATAAGAAGTTCACGATTTGTTTGAGGTTAATTGATTTTGATTTCGCAAGCTTGGAGTCGGAGATCTGGATTGTGTTCGCATCTATGGAATGCGAGGAGAATTTAATGGTGATATTCAGTTCGCATTTGGTGACACAAGTACGTGGTTGATGATTTTTGGTTGGTTCGCATTTGAAATCAGTGGGTTTCGCATTTGGGTTCGTATCTGGGTTTCTCAAACAACTGAAATGCGAATATGAGACAACTGATTAATTTCTCAGTTAATGCGATGAAATGCGAATGAACTCAAAGACGGATGGATGCAAGATGCGAAGAATTTGAATGAAAATGCGAAGTTTTTAATGTATAAATGCGAATTGGGGAAGAAAGCTTAGAGTTTCGCATTTGGCACCTGATCTTTTCAAGAAATAATATAAGTGGTCCAACTTCGCAAAATGGGGTCATAAAAAGACAAAAGTGCAGAATTTTCATTTCGCATCCCTATAGTCTTCGCAAAATGGAAAATTTTACCCAGTTTCGCATTTGGGGTAAATTTTTTTGAGAAATTGGAATATTTTCAAACTTTTTTTCTTAAAAAAAACACATTGTCTTCGTCTAAGAGAGGGAGAAAAACGATTAGGGTTTATAAGGGAAATACTTCATGGCAGTGGGATTTATAGCAGGGTTTATAAGGTGGAGAGAACAAACACACGTCTGCTATGAGATATTTTAATCAGCTGCAAATGCAACATTTAAAGGATATTTGTTGAAGCGTATTAGGATGAAAAGGTTTTAAATTTTGAATGACCATGAAATTAGGATTTTGCTGAGAAATATAAGGAATCAAAACAAATTTAAAATTTAATATTATTTTATTAATGGTTGTTTGTAATATTAGCTTAATCGTTTGTACGTCTTAAAAAAATAATATTATTATATTCAATCTATTTATAGAAATAGTTAGATTTCTTTTATAAGTAGTAAAGATATACAAATTTAATATTTACACTTTTATAATTAAATTCAATGTGTCATTTGTCAAAATTTAATCAAATTACTTAAAATAATAAAATTTCTTCTTCTACACCTAGAAAAACTGTAACATTGAATAATATTGAAATTTTGAAAACGATTAACCGAAATTACTGGACTCTCTTTCTCTTTCTCCTCCTAGAGAAACTGCTCTCTCTCTCTCTCTCTCTCTCATATTGGATGGTGAATCAGAACTACTGTTGAGCGTTATCCCCCAAAAAGCTTAACAGAATCTCCGCATCTACGTAATTACATTCATCTCTATCTATTCAACACTTTCAACCGCCTGGTAATTCCTCGAAAACCCTAATCATTGTGGTAGTTATTGGATTTATTTTACATTTATTGTCTGTTAAGATTGGTGTGCGTGACTTTGTATTTATTGCATTTTGGTTGCGTGTTCCAGCTGTATTGATTGATTTTGTTTGTATCCGATTGGTTCAGATCCGTATCGGTTCTGTGAAAAATCATGTGAATTTTGGTGCCACATTTAAAATTTGTGTATGTTCTTTCGCATTTTGATATTATATTAGGTCGTAACACGAGTTCTGATGACAATTGTAGGTTTGATCTGAAGATATTTCTGCTAGAATTTGTTTATGAACTGGAAATTGTTTGTTTCTGCAATTGAAGAATCTGAGGGTGATTGGTTGCTCGATCTACTTCAGTGATTGCCATTGTCTCTTATAATCGCGATTCGAGGGTTTGCTGACATGAGAATTTGCGATTTGATGTGATGATCGTAGATAACTTCCATTTCCCTTCGAAAATTAACTATTTCCCAACTGATACTTCCGAGAGCTGTTATGTCATGATACGTCACCATTACGTATTTTTGGGAAAGTTAAGGTGAAACGATAGTTTAGAAAGTGCTTTCGAAAGCCAAATTTGTTAAAGTGGGCTGCATATTTGGATATGAGAAGGCGCTTGATTAAAAAACTGTGTATGGTTTTTGGCCCTAGATTGCCAAGGATATGGTTAATCCTTTGTCTTGCTAGTGTTTTTGTACTTATTGTTTTCTCCAGTTCTTCTTCTTCTTCATCTTCTTCTAGTTCCTTCGACTCTGTCACAGTGACTGTAAAGCCAGACATTTATGCAAACTACAGAAGACTAAAAGAGCAAGCAATAACCGACTATTTGGATTTAACTAGTTTATCTTCAGGGTCTAGTAACCTGAAAGATCTTAAGCTTTGTGGAAAAGAAAGAGAACACTATGTTCCTTGCTACAATGTATCTGCAAATATGTTAACCGGGTTCACAAATGGTGATGAGTTTGATCGACATTGTGAAGTATCACAAGGTGAACCATACTGTTTGGTTCGCCCTCCAAAAGACTATAAAACCCCTCTGAGTTGGCCAGTTGGTAGAGATGTGATATGGAATGAAAATGTCAAGATAACAAAAGACCAATTCCTTTCTTCCGGGAGCATGACAAAAAGGTAACATTTTTAACATGATGTTGGATGGAATTTTCTGACTTCTGAATACCCCTTTTGATATTTTCCCACTTCATCATCTTTTAGGTTAATGCTAATGGAAGAGAACCAAATTTCTTTCCACTCAGATGATGGATTAATGTTTGATGGTGTCAAAGATTACTCCCACCAAGTTGCAGAAATGATAGGACTAGGGAGTGATACGGAATTTCATCAAGCTGGTGTAAGTTCTCCACATCTTTTCTTGACTACATAACAAGTGAGTTATGAGTATGCAATTAACAGTATATTAGTATATTCATATATCACTATTTCTTAATAGGTACGCACAGTATTAGATGTTGGTTGTGGGTTTGGTAGCTTTGGGGCTCATTTGCTTTCACTGAAACTAATGACTGTATGTATGGCTGCATATGAGTTGACTGGTAGTCAAGTTCAAATATCACTTGAAAGAGGTCTTCCAGCTATAATTGGCAACTTCAATTCAAGACAGCTTCCATTTCCATCATTGTCATATGACATGGTTCATTGTGCAGAATGTGGTATTCTATGGGATGCCAAAGGTACCCCATTAATTAACTACATTACAAGGGTATACTTGTCTTTTTCCAAGTAAAAGTATTATTTATTTCTTTGTTAACAATGATTTCATGGATCAGATGGATTGTTTCTTATTGAAGCTGATCGTGTACTTAAGCCTGGAGGCTACTTTGTTTTACATGGAAGTTCTTTAAGTACAAAAAAAGGAAGCATGGCTAGTCCTATTGAAGAATTCACCCGTAAAATCTGTTGGACATTTATAGCTCAACAAGAAGACACTTTCATCTGGCAGAAAACAAGTGACCCTCAATGCTACTCATCTAGGTGAGGACAATAATTTTATGTAAAACACTAAAACTAATCAAATCTTTGTAGAGATTTATTTCTTTTTTCCATTTTTAGCATGCAGGGTGTAATTCCCCCTTGTAGAGAAGAAAGGGAAGATGTACATTCATATTATCAGCCACTTGCATCTTGTGTGAGTGGGACTACAAGCAAACGATGGGTACCTATTCAGAACAGGTCTTCCAGTTCCCAAATTACCCCTGCTGAGCTTGAAATATATGGAAAGTATTGTTCTTATGCAACATCTGTTCTATTTACTCTAGGGTTAAATTTAGATCAAACCCTTTAACCCTTTAAATTTTGATTTGCAGGAATTCAGCAGGATGAATTTTATGAAGACTTTGAAACTTCATTATCAGCTTTAAGAAACTACTGGTCTTTGCTTACACCATTAATTTTTTCTGATCATCCAAAAAGACCAGGTGATGAAGATCCTTTACCTCCATATAACATGATAAGAAATGTGATGGACATGAATGCACATTATGGTGGATTAAATTCTGCATTTCTTGAAGAAGGAAAATCAGTTTGGGTGATGAATGTTGTTCCCATTAGAGCTCCTAATACTAATACACTCTCAGTTATACTCGATCAAGGTTTTGCTGGTGTTTTGCATGATTGGTAAGAATTTGATTTTGATTAACATTTTTATTTTGGGTCCTTTATAAATTTGTATTTAATTGTAGGTGTGAACCCTTTCCCACTTATCCAAGAACATATGACATGCTTCATGCAAATGGGCTCCTTTCGTATCTTATCTCAGAAAGATGCAGCATCACAAACCTACTTTTGGAGATGGATCGTATCCTACGCCCTGAGGTACACAACACAGATATGACATGACATAACATATTGTACTGCTTTTACACCATATCTAATCCGTTACATTATTTTTGGTGAAAAAAAATACATGCCACACAAAGTTAAAGGGTCAAATTGTAAAAAAGGAAAGTTTAACACCAAATTTGTTGACATGAATAGTAAAACACCAAACTCACTGTAAATGGTGTGTTGGGTTGGAAGTGATTGAACCGAAAAAGATGGGACATAGGCTTGGTCTCAAATCTCATTGATTGTCTGTGCAAAAGACGAGAATGCCCTCCTCATCAGCGTGTCCTAATGTTGACAACCTTTTGTTGACTTTTAGGGATGGGTTGTTCTCTCGGATGAAGTGGGGTCCATAGAGAAGGCACGTATGATTGCTACACAAATACGATGGGAAGCGAGGGTCATTGATCGTGAAAATGGTAGTGACCAAAGAATACTCGTTTGCCAAAAGCCGTTTGTAAGAAAATGAATCATGCGATCCACGAAACATCCAACATTCCTCGAATCATCCGATGCTAGAAAACTCTGGTAACTATTTTGTACTGTGTTTGATATGCATTACACTCTCACTGATTCGGATGATTATGACTAATGTCAGTAGGATTAAAAATTATACATTTTTGCACGGACAAGATCTTTTGTCTGTGCAAAAGATGTAAATGTCATTGTCGTGTTATTGAAAATAGACCTAGAAAGATTGTTTAGTCATTGAGTGATAATGATACTAGATTTCTAATGATGTGTAGGAGGCGAAAGTTAGGTGAGAAGGTTTATAGAGTTGATATTTTTGGCATGGGATATTGGTAGATAAAAAAGAAATTGAAAGTGAAAGTGAAAGTGAAGCAATTACGAGATGTAGATTAAAGAAAGTTTTGGTGCCACGTAGCCTTTGATTATCTTGTTTTTGAAACTTTTCCAAAGGAATTGTAGCAATTCATTCACCCAAATTTGTTTTTGTTTTTGTTGAGTATTTTTGTAACCCGAATTACGTTTTGTATTGAACATTATCATCATCTCTTGAGTGAATAGGTGGCTTTGGGCACATTTTGTTATGGCTTTGTAGTGTTTTAATTGGATCATTTGTCACAAAAATGGTTAAAATTTGATTTGATTTTTATGTTTGAGTTGTAGGAAAACAAATTATTATGTTATTGAGGTGGAAAGATATATTATTATTAACTAGGTGTGAGACCCATGTATTACATGGGTTTATTCAAAAAAAAAAAAAAAATTAACAATTTGAAAATTTTGATTTAGTAAGAAAAATGAGAATTTTTTTGAATTATTAAAATTAATGACTTTTAATGTATTGAATACATTACATATATAAACCCTTTCTAATAAATAACTTACATATATATTACCTTATATATTAAATGTGAAACTTAATTTAATAAAATCAAAAATACAATAAAATGACAAGTGGAAAATAGAAAATTTAAAAATTCTATAAAAAAAAATGTGTCCAAATGAATGAAAAGAGGACATGTGGCAAAAAAACTTTCATTTATTATAGTAGATGTTTTATTTATGATATCGAGTTGAAAAAAATGCCAATGGAATGGGTTCACAGGTTGGCGAGTTTGTGGATCAGATTTGGGTTCGTATGTTCGTGAATCAGATTACATAAATAAAATTGATAATTAAACATGAATAAATTTTTGATACAAACATATTCGAATTTTAGAAACTTTAGTCTTAAACATTCAAATGAAAATTATAAACAATCATGAAAACATGTTCAAAATAAAACATTAATACAAACATAGATAAATTCAATCGCAGACATCGATGTCGTTCGATAATGATTCAATCGTTTATGTTGTTGTTTTTGTGGGATATTTAGATTATATAGAACAAATACCAAATACGTTGTAATCCAAATCAGTATATGGTTATTCACAGGTCAAATCGTCAATGATATTGGGTATCTTATCCTAATATAAAGTATAAAATATATACTGTATAATACTTAATATATTTAAAAAATACATAAATTTTTTTATTAAAATTCTAAACAGGTTGTCGGGTCAACCCATATATTTTTTGAGAAACGCATATATGACCTGTTTAACAGACGGGTTGACAGGTTGACGGGTTGACGGGTTGAAAACTCAACTCAAACTCATTTATTTCATGTCGTGTTGTGTGTTGTACCGAGAATTATTAGTACTATAATACATATGAGTCTCCAAGATTTGTTGTCATTAGAATTCCTATGTGACTTCATTTCTTGGGAGCCGTTCCAAAAAAACATAATTGCCTGAGTATTATCACGAGAGAATATTCAAGTGTTTTTGATATATTTATAGAATTGGTCCTATGCTTTCTCATAATGTGCAATTTTGACCATTTTGGAGGTTTTATTTTCTTGTAGTTTTAGTTCATCAGGACTCATATTGGAAACTAGCCGTTAAATCTTTGTAAATACACCAATTTATGTTATTTTGTTTTACATTGTCCTTTTTATTATTGTAAGACTATTGTCTATTGGAAACTAGCCGCTAAATCTTTGTAAATACACCAATTTATGTTATTTTGTTTTACATTATCTATTTTATTATTGTAAGTCTCAAAACAATAGATCTCACAAAATATCAATTTTCGGTCTTCATAATCCGAAAACATAAAGAGTTCAATAATCAGATAATTCCCTAAGCCCAAAACAATAGTAAAATATAAAGCCCATCATAAATCACAAAAATATAACCCAGTTAGAAAACTAAATCAAAATGAAGAAAACAAGGAACCTATATTGAACTCATATGAAAATGAAACCATTCGTGTTTCATGTTCAATGATAAAATAACAAAAAGAGATTAAGACAACATGCCATTTAACATCAAATAGTTAATGAAGTCATTTGTAGACAAAATATTCATGTATGGTTAGGAGCAAAATCTCGCTTTGGATGGTCTCTCACTTTGTCTACACTGATGATACTATACTTATAAGGGAGTGGTCACATGACGATATAAAAATATTCTTTGAATTTTACGATGCTTCTACCTTGCTTATGGACTTAAATTTGACTTTGAAAGAGTCGGTTATTGGCAGGCCCGATCTAAACGTATATGGGGCTAGGGTGAAAAGAAAAAAAAAAGGCTCTTAAAGACAAATATAATAAATATTTAAAAAAATATTATTTATGATTCACTATAAATGCGTTCAATTAGCAATAACAAGCAAACCAAGTTGTTTATCTTTTGAGTTACTTTGAGTTTGAAACAACTTTAGGTCTTAAAAATCATTTAGGTAATAATATATATATATATATATATATATATATATATATATATATATATATATATATATATATATATATATATATATATATATATATATGCACTACATAACCCAGAAATTTTGGGCCCCCTGGAGACGTGGGCCCTGGGCGGTCGCCCGGGTCGCCCACCGTCTAGACCGGCCCAGGTTAGTGGGTGTCATAATTAATTCGAGTGAAGTATAGTGGGGGTAGTAGGTTGCTGAGTTGCTCTACAATTCAACTTCCTTCCTTATACGCTTCCGATTTCCTCTAATATGTCAATGCTTAAATTGTGGGAAAATGCTATCAACAAATTTAGGTTAAGGCATCTTGGAAAGCTAGATTGTTATCTATTGGTGGTCGATTGACTCTTGTTAAGTCAGTCCTGGGTCGCCTTGGTATTTATTATCTATCTACTTTTAGGCCTGTTGTTGATGTCTTACGGGCTATGGAGATTATGAAGGCTCGTTTTTTTTTGGGGTATGGAAGAGGGTCAAAAGCGTATCCATTGGGTTAAGTGGAATTTAGCCTTAAACTCTTTTGATCAGGGTGGTTTGGGTATTGGTAGTTTAGATGCTTTTAACCTAGGTCTTTTATATAAATGGAAACGGAGATTCTTTAATGAGCCTGAGGCCTTTTGGGTGAAAGTCTTAATGTTTTTTCATGGAGAAAGGGGATGTTTTCGGGGGGGGGGGGGGGGGATACCAAGTGGTGGAGGTGTTTGGCAAAAATTTGTTGGGTCTATTAATCATCTCCATGAGAGTGGTTTGGTGCCTTCGAATGCTATGTCCAGAGTGACCGGGAATGGAGCTATTATTCGGTATTGGCATGATGTTTGGTGCTTGGATGTTCCAATTATGGTGCAATTTGGTAGATTGTTTTCTCTAGCTTCTAATCAAAATTCTTTGGTTAGGGAGTATTGGTCTTCGACGGGTTGGGTTTTTGCTTGGCGTCGTGATATTTGAGGATGGGTTAAGCAGGAACAACTTGTGAGTTTGATGTCTTTGTTGGAAGGCGTTCGACTTGGCACGGAGTCAGACAGATTGGTGTGGAATCTCGATAATTCGGGGTGTTTTTTGGTTAAATCGACTAGGAATTGGATTGATGGTTCGAGACTTTCATTAGGTAACTTGGCTACTCAATGGAACCGCTTAATTCCTATTAAAATAAATGTCTTTATTTGGCATTTGTTGATTGATAGGCTCCCTGTTAGGTCGAAGCTGGTGGAGAGAGGGGTGGATGTTGACACGGTTTTGTGTCCATTGTGTCACAATGATCTTGAAGATGTGTTGTATGTGTTTATTCATTGCGCAATTGCAACTCAAGTTTGGAGGCGGGTTAGTCTTTGGCTTGATTTGGATATCCCTGTTTTCCCCACTTTGAGATACATGATGGACTGGATTAATGCGAGGCCGAATGTTAGACATCAACGGGCGATTGTTGACTCAATGTATTCTGTGGTCATTTGGGTGCTTTGGACGTTCCGTAGTGGTACTTTGTTAAGTAGTAATAAGCCTAGGAAAGATAGGATTTTTTATTATACTATTGATATTTCGTTTCGTTGGTTTTCATCTCGTAACTCTAAGGCTAGGACTATTTGGAGTTTGTGGCTTCAAAATCCTATTTAGTCTTATTGGTTTGTATTTCTAGCTTCTTGCAAGTTTTGGTTTAATATATTTGTTTTGCTTTCGTTCAAAAAAAGCTTTTTAGTTGGAAAGTTAGAACCTTAGCGTTGGGAGGTAAAACTATTATCTTAAAGCCGATGTTAGGTAACCTTTATATCTATTATATGCCATTCTTTTGAGCTCCAGATGTGATTATCAGCAATATGAAATCTCTTAGAGAAAGATTTTCTTGGGGGTGGTGAAGTTGGTGAGAAGAAAATAGATTGGTTGAGTTGAAAAGGGGTGATGGCTAACAAAGAAAAGGGTGACCTTGGTGTCGGAAGTTTATATGATTTTAAACTGTCATTATACAAACAATAAACTAAAGGTACATACCATGCAAAGTGTAAAGCCCATGTTTCGGAGATAATCATTAATAGATGATGGGATAGTCTAGGTCAACTATTGTCACTCTATTTGAGGTAATAAAGATAAATTATTTGAGTATTATGTGAATTATATGAATTTATGTGTTTTATAGTTAATTATAAAGATATAATTAATATAGAATAAAAATAAGCGTCAAAATTAAAGTGTAAGATAAGCCCGATATTGTTAATTAAAGTTGTAGTGGTCGAAACAAAGATTCCGGAGATATAAAGAACGCCGAAATCCGAGTTATAACGAAGAAATTATGACCCGTCGAAGTTTCGCGACGGAACCGACACGGCACCGGGAAGCGTAAATAGTGAATTTATGATAGAGAGACTTTTGGCCTTAGTTATCTAAACAAAAGTTGTAGTATACATTAAACCGAGAACACACAAAAAAACAGAATGCCCAAATCTAACTTCATATGAGGAAGTTATGATTTTTCTAAGTTTCGGATCGACAATACACAACCTGGAATTCAAATATTAGAACAAGCGGTATTTTAACCAACACAACCTAAACGAGAATCGAAGATCTCGTTAATAGTAGCATAACGATAAAAAGACAAACGAAAACGGACGTCAGATGAAGAAGTTATGGATTTTTAACGGACCAACCTTGTCCCGGCCATTTAATAATATAACTTTAAAAATAAATTAAAATTAGCCGACGAAGTCTAAATGAAAGTTGTAGATCTTGTTTTTACCTACTCGTGGATATAAAGAACGTCGAAAACGGAGTTCGTATGTGAAAGTTACGAATTTTTAAAGTCGAGACTCGGATTTGCGAAGTTGATTGTGAAGTTGCTGACGTGGCCGAATCT